GGTTGATGGGCTTACAAGATCCTATGAGACCTTGAGATGCATAATCTTGGGCCAATTTCAAAGATATGTGGATAAGATCTGTTGACTTCGGTTAAAGTAAGCTTTGAAAAATAACTTTTGGACCAAGGTCTCCCTTGAACTTTCATCTAATATATGTTAGGCAATCGAGTTGCATTTGAAGAATGGCACGGTAAAGGAAAAGAAATATTAGTTCAAAAAAAGGGAAATTTCATTAGAAATCAGGGTTTTTATTCGTTGATAAATGTTCAAGTAATTGAAGATCAGGGGAAATAAGGTTTCATATTGTGATCGGTGGATCTGGAACTGACTGTTTAACGCTGGTTCGCGAAATGTCGCGGAAGCAAGAGTCGCCACCGTCTTTTATTTTCTCCAAATGGAAAGGACAAAAGCACAGAAAAATTCCTTAAAGAGATTGCTCTCGGTTCGGGAGGTAAGTTATAGAAAGGGAAGGTGTTAGCACCCTTTCTATCCATGGTTATCCATGGGCTCTTAGATACTTGCTCAATGTGTTTTCAAAAATGATTTGTTTGCTTTTCAATTGTGGGTTTAAAAAAAAGTTTCTTTGAAAAATTTCAGTTCGACTCGTACGTCAGAGTGTTTGAAAAGTTTGCTTTGAAAGCTTTTGAAAATGTGTTGGTGTGAAAAGTCTTTTTGAGTTTGTTTTGAGATTAGAGCAAGTATCCTTGAGAACCTACCTACCCTAAGGAATTCGTCTGTGTAAATGTCCTTAAAAGTAGTGCCATCCCACCATTGAGAGGTAGGTAGCACCACCGTTGGAGGTGTTCGGGTCAATTCGAGTTTGTAGGGACATGGTGATCACCGGAGCAATGGGAAGACACCTTAGAAGCTACCCTCATGCCAGGTTCCCGGATCATGAGGACTTACTAAGACATCCTCTACTCGACGATCACCTTTCGAAAGGCAATAGTGAGGCGTACCCTAGGGGTGGTGTGTGCGGATTATGTGTCATGTTTCAGTTATTTGTCTTGTCATGTTAAAGTGATCTACGCTTGATTCCAATTAAGACATTCATTCTTGCATGCTTATTTAACAGTTAAAATATTTGCGGAAAAAATAAATTCTAAAGCTATTACAAACGGCGCGGGTCCACATCGCCAAAATTAAACCGGACCCGATTTGACTGAAAAATAAATAAAGCAATAAAAGTGCGAGAAATAAAATTGTTACAAGGCTTTGGGACATGTACATAATTATAATAAGCGACAAAGTAAAATGCGCGAAATTAATAATTAAAAGTATGGGCGTTGAACCCTTTCATAAGAAATTAAAGTTAATAAGAATTAATTAATTAGAATTAAATGTTTTTTGGTATTTTATGTTTTTTTAAGATTTAAAAGAAAAAGAATTTATTGAAATTAAAAATAAAATGCTAAACCCTAGTTCTAATGTTTTTTAAGTTTATTGTGAAAATATTAAGTTTTATCCTAATTTAAATCTAAACTATTTATGTACAATTAATTATAAAAATAAAATAAATAAATAAATAATATTGTGATAAAAAGGAAAATTTAAAAGGTATAAAAAATTATCAATTAACCTAATTCTATATTTTTTAGATTTTTAATTATTTAAAAGGAATTAAAATGTCAACCTAATTAAAACTAAATATTTACATGTTATTATTTATACAAAAAACAATATTTAAAATAAAATAATTATTAAATTTTTTGACTTTTCTGATTTTATGCTGTTTTCCATATTTTGTAAAAAAAATAATTATTGAATTAAAACAACAAAACAAATAAAATAATAATTAAAAAGATATAAGAAAAATAAGTAAAAGTAGCAAACCAGGGTGGGGTGTAGTCCCCAATTCAGGAGGTATAGGCCTAGCATTCTGGCCCAATAAGCATGGCATTCTTTGACTTTTCTAGGCCACATATGCGTTGGTTGACTTGTCCTTATGGTGTTCTTTAATTCTGAATCCTTGATCTGCTCTCACTGGACGCGTGTATGATGGGATGATGATGGAATATGGTGGTCCACAATAGGCGCGCTGCATAAGAATTTACATTGAAAAATAATATTGCAATTTGCCAGACCTGGGACTTGAACCCATGTCACGAGGGTTACAAGCACGTCCACCTGCCAGCTGAGCTATCACGTTTCAATTAACCTATTATATCAAACAGATAACAAAAAGCAAAACCCACGCGTAATGGTTAAAAACGCGCGCAATTTCAAAACACCCAACCACTGCTTGCCAACACATCATCGTCCTCATTGTTTTTATTTTTGTCTGAAACACAAGCCTATGGAAACGGTTTTGGATGCGTGGTCTTAGGCTGGTTTCAAAAAAATAGCGATTAGGCTATCCTTGAATATAAATCCATCGCGAATAGTGCTTCTTCTTCGTCTAGGCTTGCTGAGTACGACTATCATGGTCTGGAAGGCTAATTTTACAGTATTGTAAAAGCCCTAAAATCACAACCTGAAAACCCTAAAATATGAACATGGTGAAATCGCGTATGGTCAACAAAACAACAATCAAACACAATGGTTAGCTTGGAAACTTTGTAAGGAACATGAATATACAATTAAAATGCAATGATCATGCTTCAAAACCAAAATACGATTAGGCAATTTTCTGGGTACAGTTCACGTTCAATGTACCAATTCTGGAAGCTTTGTTCGTTGTTCTTGATTGGTACACGTTCAGAGTTACCCAAGGAAGCTAATGGGATCAAGATTGGGGCTTGAATCGTCCTCTAGAGTGCTTTTCAGTTTTGCACTTTTTTGTCAAAAACTCCAAGTTTGTTCAATGGTCTTTTGCGCAGCTTTCAATCTAATGCAATTAGGTTTTGATTCCTGAATATGTAGCCAAGCTTTTAGGTTAATAATATTGAACAAAATCTCATGAATTCAATGATTTGCATATTTGATTTTGTAAAATCTTTTTGAATCTTTTTCACATGGTTCTTTGTGTCAATTAGCTCCAATCACACCAATTCTTTCCATAATTGAACAAGCACGAAATATTGAGAGTAGAATGTGCACAAAAAGATTTTTTTAGGTCAAGTTTATATTTTCTACATATTTAAATGATTTAAATGAATTAATATTAATATAAATTCAAATAAATAATTAAAAAATGAGAAAATACTTCCCTTTGGGCTTAATGGTCGTGCATAGGCTTGGCATGAAGAAACTTGGAATAAAAATGGGCCCATTAGCATTTTTGGATCATTTGCATCAATGTTGACTTTTCAAAATTCCCAAACATTTCCCAACTTCCACAAGGCATAACTTGCTCAATTGTTAAGCTTTTCACATGTTCTTGGACATTTTGGAAAGGTCTTTGAGTCCTTTAACCAATGCCTTTGGTCCCATGTCATTTTGATTCACCAATCTCAAGTTATGGCCTTTGACTTAAAGTCCCTTTTTGTTGACTTTTGAAAATGACCTATAATGTTGAAATTGATAACTTTTTGTGAGAGCATTTCTTGGACTTGAAGTATGAAGATGAGTTGTAGGAAATGTCTTTCTCTTCAAAATGAGCATTGGATGGAATTTTTCTGATAAACCATGTGGAAGTTATGCCCTGGTCAATTTCAGTTGACTTTTTCAGCTGTCCAAATATAGTAACTTTTGCATCTTTGATGATTTCTGAGCCAAATTTTGAGAATCATGATCAAGCATTGATCAAATGATGTTTATGGCTTCAAAATGATATGTTGACCAAAAATTTGAACTTTTGACTGCCAAATGACCATTTTGCCCCTACAGTTGACTGTAGTGCAATCTAGGGTTTTGACTGTGCAATTTTGAGCTGAATGCCTTGAAACTTGATATGAGGATGCTTGACCCCATTTGTAGGCATGTGAGACTTGATTGGGCCTTTGGAAACTTCCTTTCTTTGATCAGAACACAAACCCTAGTTTTGACTGTGTAGGAGACAGTTGAACTGCATAACCCTTGGGGAATTTTGTGACCTGTCTTGGCAATTTCTTGAAGAATATGGGAGGGCAAATTTTGGGGTACAACACATATTAATCTTGATCATATTCTTTCATTACCATTTACGTTCATCTTTGATGATTTAAGGTCGTCAATTAGGGAAGGACTTTGTCAAGATAAGAGACTTATGGATTGAATCGTGGAATATGAGGCATGATACAAAAGGCAAGGTTGTGAATTTTCTTTTAAAGATCAAGATTTTATTGTCTATTCAAATTACTTACCATACAAGTTGATTTAGATTCAAGATTGAAGTTAGGAGTTCATTGAGAATGCAAGTTTGATTTGGATTTGAAGTTTGATTTGAATTCAAGATGTTCGAAAGTGTTTGATTGGATTAAAATTGGCAAAGAGCCGTAAGTATTGGTCATATTTGTTTCTTGGAAGGTAAAGTACAGACTGCAAGGTCTTATTTCAAGTCGGAGTTCATCCACATTACAAAGATGTTCATAGTTATTCCAGATTCAAGTTCACAATGCGTTCAAACATTTATTCAAACCCTTTCATTCATGGTTCAAGAAAATACTATCCAACAACCATAGTTTCATCCAAATAGTCATTCAAGAATTCATTCAAGATTAAAGTCTCTTCTGATTACCTTGCAAATATTTTGAATTCGTACCATGATTATTTAAATTCATATAAAGGTATTTAAAGGAAATATTTGAGAAAAAGAACTTGGAATTTCAAAATCAGTTTCGAGGAGAAAGGTACATTGAAGAAATTATCATTGAATTCTCAAAATTACATTGCAAGTTTAACTAATTCCATGCTACATTACAATACAAGATGGCATTCAAAACATTTTCATTACAATTTTACCATCATGTTACAAAAGAAATTATAAAAATCCTACACAACACCAAAGCCTAATCTTCATATGTCTTCCACGAAATCCCACAGTTTGACCTTACCTTTTCACCATAATCTTCATACTACTTCAACACAAATTCACTAATTCCAATTTCCAAGCCTTAAAATTTAAAGGTTTGTTTGAAAGTTCAAAGGCTATTTATTTTATATATTAAAGAAGATGCTTCCACTTGATTATCAACCTTGGGGTATGCTTGTAAAATTTGTTCCAACTTTTTTCGCGACATGCAAGCAAGAGACACGTAGCTCATGACCTCAAAAGTAATTCGGTGAAGATCGTGAGTCAGAACAGTTTCCTTTGCTGCAGGAACTCCGAAAATAACATTATGCATTTCCATGAAAAGATCCCTGCTAGCTTCTCCTAATCTATTCCTAACTGCGATTGCTTCGTTCAGTAAAGTCGAATCCAAGAAAAGAGATTGGAATCTTGGAATATGATTACCCAAATGCCCGAATATTTGAAGCATTTTGAACAAACGCCATTTCGTAGGGCTCCCAGAAGCAATTGTATCTGCAAAACACAGCAGCCGAGACGTTGCTTCTTTGCAAACCTCAAAGAAGCAACTAGAAGCTGCCGAGGAAAACCCCAAGAAGACACGATTGCAGAGTTTCTGTTCAATGGGAAACAAGATTATCATAGCTACATCCAAAGCAGTCATCCATCTATCAAACATAATATCTAAATATTTCTCTCTTTCTTACTCATGGATGGAATTGATGTTTTCCTTTGGCAACCCAAATATTTTGCTTTTGAGACACACCTTCAAGAATACCTTGCGCCAACTGCTATACACATCACAACACTCTTTCTTATAACCAGCTGCTACCATCAACTTCACTGTTTCATTAAGATTATGGATCTTTCTTGATGACAGAGAATCCATTACATAATCAGACTTACCGAGTAAATGTAATTCACTCTTATCTAGATTGTATTCCTTCACGAGCTCCATAAGCCTGTCTACGAGATTCAAATTATCCTCTTCAATTCCCTTCATACAAGTTTTAAGCTGTTCCAGTAGTAATGAATCCATTTCAAGGACAAGTGACTTTTCACCTTGCGGGTCAAAATACTCGTTTTCTATTCCATCATCTGTTGAAGAGAGGGAAGAACGAAGAATAATAAGGGAGTAGCTGAAACCTGCTCCAAGAATGAGTAACTGCAAGCTAATCTTCATGAGCTGCACAATTAGACATCCGAGGAAGAAGTAGAGAAGATCAATTTCAACTCCGCAATGAGTTCGCCGTGACAAACTGAGTGACATGATAGCAAAGGAAGCACATGAAACGAGACTATATGCATCTGGTTTCCCATTCACCACTTTGTCAAAGAAGAATGAATAGACAGAAGTGATTGTTAGCACCAGGAAAGCTGTATGAGCTTTGAATCGGAGACTTGAAGATGACTTCCATATATTTGCATACAAAATCATGAGGCTGATGATGAAGTTGAAAAGAATGCAGAATAAGTAGCCGTGAGAATAATTCAAATTCGAACGATGATACAAATGCTAGAGCTAGCATATCAAGAATAGTGATGTTAGCTGAAGCCTTATTCGAGGTTCTGGATGAAATTCACCAGCAATCAGTGGTTTTATCTTCCCACCTTTCTGTATCTTCTATCGGATCTGTTCCCTCGCCTGCTGAAGTTGCCGAATCCTTACCTGTTAAAATATACACAAAGTCACACAAACATCAAGAAGAACTCAGCAGGCAATTTAGAACTAGTGGTAGTTACCCTGAAAACGTTGACTCCCATATTCGTCTCAATAAGGGTACTTTGTTGAATTCGTTGTGGAAATTAAATGTAGTGGACATAGAAGTAACCCTTGCATACGTGTGTCAAATGGTGCTAAAGGAAAATGATGTCCAGGAGGGAACTCCTAGCCTGTCCACGGTTCAGCCCTGCATAGAAAGATTAAAAAGCAAAAATCAATAACAGTTAACAGTTCAGTTCTAAGAGTTTGTAACAAAACAGAATTCCTCTTAAACTAACTTCTACTAACTAGCTGTCAAACAGAGTAACAAACTCTCTAACAACCTTCAAACTGTTTTTTTCTAAGCTAAACTTCTAACTACTTTCTAACAGATTTACTAACCACCTAATCAATCTCTAGCCAACTTCTCAGACTCAACCGACTATATAATCCAGTTTTCAGGGGGATCAATGAGGATCCATCTTTACACACAAAAGACGGAAAAACAAAAAGATCTTGGCACTCCTCTTCATTCGCTCTACCCGACAGCATCTTAGTTCAACCTTCATTTGTTCATCATCAACCTTCTAACAGAAATGGATATCCTCATATCTGCAGATTCACAATAACACAAAATCATTATCCATTCACAATTATTCAACCCAGAAAGATTAGAAAAACTCACCTCAATAATCTTCAATCAAAGCTTTCTCTCTCTGTGCCATTTTCTTGATACCACTTCATCGTCACCGTCTACATTTCAACCTTCAACTTGCGGCACCTCGACACACCTCAAGAATCTTCAATCAATGCCAACTCTCTTTTTCCTCTCACGGCAACCATCTGAAAGCTCTTTCTCTCACTATTTCATCAGAATCCGATTCTCGTATATGTTCATCTCTTTCATATCCATGAATTGAAGTTGCTGCTTGCGTTTATTCCGCTGACATCGCGATAATTCCGCCGCTCTCATCTTCGTCTCGGATTCACAACAAGATATCAAAGGTTACAGAGAGGTTCAAGGTTCCGTGAAGCTATCAATCACCAGCGGAGCAGCGGTAGAGCTTTCTGGAGGTTTATACGCAAGATCCGATTTCGTTCCAATGCGCAAACCGTGGCGTTTCAAATTAGGAGAAGACGAGGTGAGACGATCTTTCGCGGCTGCATGTTGAGGACCGATCGGATAAGGTAAGGATGATGAAGCCGTCGCGCCGCCGGTGAGAGAGCAAGGAAGAAGAACGGTTGAAGTTGTACATCACTAGCGTGTTGAATCCTAAACTACACCGTTTTACATTTGTATCAGCTTTATTTTTTTATAATTATTATTTCTTTTTATATATTAATAAATCAGAAAATAATATTGAAATGGAAGACTTGGTCACATAGAATTTGGACTGGGCCCATGCGTTGGATATCTCAATTCATACCCCTGGATCCTGATTACACTCCCTAACTTTTCTCTCCACTTTACTTTGTTTCTTTGAATTTTTTGCAATTAATTTTTGATGTTTCTTTCATAATTTTTGACTAATTTTTTGTGTATACATTAAAAATATGGATTCCCGACTTATTGATATTTTTTTCATGATGTATCTATTGGTTTAGGATTTAATTAAATTGATCTTTGAATATGTTTGGAACTAGGATTTTAACATGTTCTCGTTGGTTCTTTCGAATTGATACAGTTTCTTTGGCATGATAAAGGGTTTAATGCAGGGTTCTGATCCTTAATTGCTTGATTAATTGTTTGCTTGTGGTTAGGTTCATAAAAAATCTCATAAACTCGATAAAAATAGATTGTTTTGTTTCATTGAATGTTCATTTGATTTGTAAGCCTTGTGATGGATTCTTAATCCAATTTTCATCTGATAACGGTGTTTTATTTGTGATAGCATCGACATAACTCTTGCAATGTGGAATGCGCAGGGTGAATTCTTCAATCACTCGCTCAAGGAAACTTTGATAGAATTCTCTTACCGCTTGCACAATTTTGAAGAGGCAACGGACCTTCTCCGTTCGGTATCGTCACAATCCCATTTTATTCTTCATTTTCGTACTTTGCCATAATCCATATGCATGCTAACATTAGGTATAATTCCCTCAAAATTCTAACTTTAGATCTAACAACGCATGATAAAAATTAAGTTTAGAAATAGGCTAGTTTTCATTTGACTTTTCTTTCCCTTTTCGATACGCATCTAAAACAAAAACTTCTTTCTCTTTAAATTTACTGACTAGAATCATATCTTCGTTAAGTATGTGAGACGATAAGTGGGTCTTTTCTCGACCTTATTGTTCTCTTATTCTAAGCTTCGGCATGACTCAAGTCTCAAAGAATCATTTCACGAATAAGTAGAGACGTGGCTAAAATCTCTCCCTTGAGATTAACTAGTTATTCTCTACAAGCGAAAAACACCAACAAACATAAAAATCTTTTTTGCCTTCGGGCCTTTCTTTCAAACCCTTTTCAAAAGAGCGTATTAATTCACTTTTGTGCTGACGCGTAAATCTCCAGAGGTCGAGTTGCCGCAGAAGGCGAAATTACTATCGTTCATTCAAAAACAAACAAATTCAAACTTTTTGTGCGCCCAAGCACATTTTCTCCAAACTTTTCAGAGAGAGCATATTAATTCACTTTTGTGCTGACGCGTAAGTCTCCAAAGGTCGAGTTGCGGCAGAAGGCGAAATTAATATTATTCATTAAAAAAATACAAACCAACAAAAACATATAAGCCGAACTACGGCTGCTCTGATTCCTCAAAAGGGATACGTAGGCATCGGGGTAGGGCCCGAACGAGCACAACTTTTATTTTCCCTACATATTTTCCCCTTTCTTTTGCATGCATTCCTTTCAATAGTATAGTAGACAGTAAGCATAGATTAAACACACCCATAAGATAGACAACAAGAGTGGATACCGTAGAGTACTACGGGCGTGTGGAGTGCTAATACCTTCCCCTCACGTAACAGACTCCCTTACCCTCATCTCTTGGTCGTTCGACCTTGATTTCACCCTCCTCAAGTTTTCTCGATGTTTACCTTTCCCTTCCCGTGGGATAAAAGACGTTCGATGGCGACTTCATTGTTTGATGATTTTCAGCCGGTTGTTTTAGCTGACGACTTCACTGGGGATAGGTCGACCAAATGCTGGTCCATCACGGAGTCGATCCTAGCTCTTGTTTTCTTTTCTTTGGGTGTTTATTTTTATGCCTTCAGTTTACTCATTTGTACATGTTTATCCGAGCATAATTTTGCATTGCATTTTATTGCTTTCCATATTTGTTATCTATTATGTTGGATTCTGGTTTTCCATGTTGGGTGGGGATGTTACTATTGAGGTAAAAGGCCCAGTACCCAGGCCAGAGTGCACTAGGACACTAGGAATAGAGTGGGGGCATGACGACTATAGGACATGGTCCGATTAGTGCAGTCTTGTCATATACCATGCTCGGATGAGGTTCAAATGAATTACTATCAGCACCCACGTCTGTGGGTAAGCCCATAGCACTTTCAGGAGGACCCGTGATTTTTGAGTTACCATTACCTTACCCTGACCTAGTCTTCACCCGTGAGTGGGGAGGGATTTGTCATTACAGGTACAGTTGGTGACTATGTTCAGGTGGTTACCCATGCTCATATGGAGACTGTGATCAGACGGTGATTAGTGGTTCTAATGATTATGTTCTGGATTTCTGTCGGTGACTTATGCATATGGTATTCTGTTGATAAATATGTTCAAATGGTTACCCATGCTCAGATGGTGACCATGCTCAGACGGTGATTATTGGTTCTAATGTTTATATTTTGGATTTCTGTTGGTGACTTTTTCAAATGCCATATTTAGTTGGTGACTTATTCATATGCCATATCCTGTTGGGGACTATGTGGTTTTCAGATTTATTTTCTGAATTCCTGCTTTGTAAACTTGGGGGTTTATTCAGGCCTTCGACCTTAGTATTCCCAGCATGTTCAGAAAAGGCTCAACGATATCTAGTTCCAGAAGCCTTGATCCCGTATAATCAGTGATCTACATAGTACTTGGTTCTTATATGTGCGGAAGTTATGACAAACCTTTGACTTGGTGATACTCGCATGGTTCAGAATAACGCATCAATCATATTTGAAAATGATGGAACCTTAATCCAATTTGATCTCATATATATGCATACATAACATGGTTAACCACATACTTAACATACATGTTCTGTGATTTCCAAGGAATCGTATTTGTAAGCCTTGTGCCAAACTTTTCCATCTTTTACTTACGTAAATCAAAATCAAAGCACGTAAATTCCTTGGGAATGAAGGGACATAACATGGCATCTATTCATGCACTCCATGTATATTCATGCATCCATAACAGGTACTCAAAGATTGGGGATTCTTATTCAGACATGGTTCTCCTTGGAGGTTTAACTTTGATTTCTTACTGCACTTGTTCAGGGATCGGTAATGGAATAGCTCTGAGTGATATACATGCAAGCTTTGGCTCGTAGTCAAAAATATCTTCAAGCAGGAAGATAATTGATTGAAAACTCAGATGAGATAGGTCATGAAAGCTATGATGATGATGTCAACAATCTTGCACCTACTGTCACAGTAAAGTTTCTCTCTTCTCCTCATCTCTTGGGAATTGCTTCCAACCATGGAGTGCTACGCAATCCTGAGTTCTTGGAACATCTTATCAGCATATGCTTCCCATTTTACCATAGGATCTTATATCAATGCTTCGTTCT